CCCCACACTGTTGCCCTCCTCCGTAAGCTCTTTCTCTTCTTTTTTGCTCAACCCCTCTACCCCCCAGCGCCCCCCAGAGCTGTCTGCCTGTTCTCTATCAGTCTAATTGTGTTATATTTTCAGTTATTAAAAAGGAATAGATGGTCTTTAGGAATGATTTTTATTCTAAAAAGTTACCTTTAGGCATCCGTTTTGGATTGAAAAAATACTTTTTTACAAAAGTTCTCTCACTCAGAGTTTGAGTCTCCTTTTCCCAGGGGCTGGGTGCATATGAAAGGATGGTTTATCTTCTGGACCCCACGTCCAGGCGAGGAGCCGGCTCTAGACCAGGGACATGCGGTACTGTTAGAAGCCGCGAACCTCACATGAATTCCCAGTCGCAGAGCTAGGCTCTGCCCGCTGCACCCCCTCCACTGGACTCGGCCCTGCGGGACGGCGCCGCTGCTCTGCCACTGCCTGCCCGCACGCGGCCTCCCTGCCTTCATTTCTGCCCCTCAGCTTGGGCAAATGGGCCAGCCCCATAAGGAAGGAGGGAGAAGTCTCATTCCCTCTCTTCCTCCCTTTCCCTTTCTCCCCCCACTCCCCTCCCTCTCCGAGTCTCTCTCCAGCTCCCCAGCCCCGCTGCCCCCGGCAGTGGGATGGGATGGAGGGGGTGGGGGAGAGTCGGTAAAAGAAAAGCTGCACAATGGGAAAAGAACCCTATACAATTTTAGAATTCCATTTCTGTCAACTATTAAGATCTGCAGAAACTCATCCGTACAGTGTTATAAAAAGGATGGCTGTTTCAAGTTTTTTTACAATAAGAAAAACTAGGTTTTTCTTTAATGAGCTAAATTGTGTGGTTACATAGCTCACGTAGGACCTAAAACCTAAAATTATACTGTAATTGTTTTATAACCTTTATATATATATGTAAATGTATATGTATATACATATATAAAGGATGCTTGCTTTAATATAGAACATAATGGTTAATGTATAAAACTACAAAACAGATTATGAAAGGTGGCACCTAATCATGAAAGGATTTTTCCTACCTAAGGGAAAGAAAACAGTGCTTTTTGAGTTACTTGGTTCCATGAGCAGTATTTTCAGAGCTATTGTTACCGGGAGACGAGACCTCCACTCTTGTCTTCTTGAGGGAAAGATTTCAATCGAGACAAAGTGTAGAGAAGAAAGCAAGAATTTATTGCAGCAAAAATATACTTAGGACTGTGAAACAAGGAAGGTGCACAGAAGAAGTACCAGGAGAGCCTAGGCTGGGCTGCCTTGGCTCACTCGGAAGTCAGAGAGAAGGGGGAAAGGGGGGGCGCCTGGGGACAGCATCGGGGGTTAGGCCGGAGGAACTGCTGCTGCCCATTGCTCCCCTTATTGCAAGTCTCATTGGGTCCCTTAGATGGAAGAAGAGAGAAGATGGCAATGGTGTGCTTCCCCCCCCCACTCTCCCCGGGGTGGGGAGCGGGGAGAGGGCACTGGGACCTTCATTTTCAGGGGTTTTAAAGGCTGGGCATTTAGGAGAGGTCTTAGGGGCGGGTCAATAGAATATTCATGAGCTTTATGCTGATGGACCAAAATGCAGTTTATTTTTAATTTGTCTGTCCTTGGGTGTGGTTGGCAAATGGCACTAATTGGATCTCTGCTCTCCGTCTCCCTGCATAGTAAGAATTAAGTTATTTACCCTCTGGCTGGGGAGGAGAAATGCAAATCATTTACTCTCAAGCGTCCTGGGTTAAGGGAAGATAGTATTTACTAGGCGGCTGCAAACTGCTGTTTAACTGTCTCAGTTTCCCTGTTGCCGTGTCCTGGAATGTTCTTTTAGAGCATAGAGCTTTTACTATGCTCTAACACTATGAAGCAGGGCCTTCACGGCTGCTGTTAGTCTAAATTCCTGGGCAATGTGATGCTCAGGGAAGGAATTGCTCAGGGGTCCGCCCAGGACACAGCCTTCAGTAGTCTGCAATAACCACCCGAGGTGATTGTTCCAACGCCTGAGTTAAGAATACCAGTCGAGAATAAGAAAAGTCGGTCAGTTACAATCTGGGAGGTAGGGGTGGGGGTGAAGGTGGACTTCGGCCAGTGTGTGGGGTTGGGAAGGACTTTGATGACACTCCAAGGACTGATCCCTTGTGAGGTTTTGCCCAAGGGTGGGGAAGGGTACCTATTCTCCCTGGTTTGGGGGCTAACGACTGGCGTTAGTTTGCTAGGGCTGCTGTAACTAAGTACTGCAGCCTGCGTGGCTTAAACAATAGATTTGTATTTTCATCCTCTTGAGGCTGGAAGGTGGACACTAAGGTGTCAGCAGGGATGATTCTGTCTGAGGGCCATAAAGGAAGGATCCTTTCCAGGCCCCTCCCCTGGACTCGGAGACAGCAGTCTTCTCCGTGTCTCTCCCTCAGTACATGTCTGTGTCTGAATTTACCTTTTATAAAGACACCAGTCAGACTGTATTCAGGCCCACCCTAATGCCCTCATTTTAATTTAATTATCTTTTAAAAGACCCTATACCTAAATATGGTTATCTTCTGAGGTACTAGAGGTTAGGACTTCAACATATGAACTTTGGGGGA